TCGAAATTAATTAACTGTAGATTTAGATTGGGTGATAACTGAACCGAAAACTGCAATTCTCTAATTTTATTTAATTTTTATTTTATTTTGTTATTTTTATTTTTTATTTTTATAAAACCAATCCCCCCACATTTTTATAAATTCCTGCTCCCCGTGGGATCGACTCTTGTTCACCGCTACTACTAGTTAGTAGAGGTTAGTATAGGAAAATTTATAAATTTAAATTTTCCGCGTTACGACGCGCGGTCAAATTTTGGCACCGATGTCGGGGAGTGGCGCAATTGAGTTGTGATTTTTTTAGTATTAATTAAATTAGATAGTTAGATTAGTATTTATTTTTATTTTATTTTATTTTTCTCTTTGACTCTTTTAATCTCCCTATTTTTCTTTTTTCTTTTGGTTTCTTTTGTAGGTGGTATTCGTTCGATATGGATGCGTATTGGAGCCCGGATTGTGCTTACGCTTACGATTCATATTATGAAATGAGAAGGAGGGAAATAAGAGACCAACATCGTGAGGCTAGAATGTCGGCTATGATCCAAGGAGCCATTGAGAGTGTTCGTCAAGCTTTATGGAGACCATGTCGTCTATGTTATACCACACGACACGTCACCGATGATTGTCTGCTTTTGTTCGAGAGGTATGGTGCACGTAGAGCTACCAAGAGAGATTGGTATCGACAAGATGATTGGGCATATTCAAATTTCAATAGGGACCATTACGGTTGGGGAGATGTGGAAATTTATTCTATGAAAATCCACAATATTCTCGATCGTATGAGCCTACTTATGAGTATGATGATTCTCAATTCCACTATGGGGGATCACAATATTCTTCAGAACATTAGCTTACACAAGAGCCTAGTCCATCATTGGTGAAGTTATTTGAGGAGTGTCAAAATTCTTTGATGGCTTGTAGCAAAATGATTGATGACGTACTGAGCGAATTGGATGCCCGAGCCAAGAGTCGGCTATGTCAAGCCGAAGTGAGCCACGATGACGTCGGAGACCTTATAATGAGCAGCGACACAGAGCTTGAGGTGATGGACAAACTTAATTTTGAACCGAACGACGAAGAGAGTGAAGAAGAAGGCGATGAGGAGCAAATTTCCGTTGTTATTGCCCCCCTGATAACAGTCTGACAACATGTTCTACTGCTATCGGGGTCCCTGATAACAGTCCGCCAGAACATGAAAATGATGTAAAAGCTCCATCAATTGCCCTGAGCATGACCGAAATTTCATCTCTTCTATTTGAGGTCAAACCACCAGCAACCGAGCATGCTGAAAATCAAGAGCCGTACATCCTGGAGGTGGTAGAGATTTTTCCTCTTATCCATGAGCCCAGGCTAATCTTTTACCATGATCATTTGTCACCTAGACGAAAAGATCCGGTCAAGCACCCGACACTGGACGAGAGGACCTTTGACAAACATGGTGCTGCAAGGTTCATGCCTCCTTTGAGGCCACCTATGAAGCCGCCATGGACCGATTGAAGAACGTGGAGCAATAAGTCGAGCCAACGATACTAAAAAAGGCGCTTGTTGGGAGGCAAACTCTAAGGTAGACTCTTTCCTTTTACCTCTTTTTGTGCTCTTGGATAAGGTAGACTCTTTCCTTTTACCTCTTTTTGTGCTCTTTTATTTGTGCAAACTCTAAGCTTGGGGAAGTGTATTAGTGTGAGAGGTTTATGTGGTGGATTATTATATGTACTCTCTTGATTTGTTTGGGTATGAACTTACTTGTATGTGGAATTTTGCAATGATGATTTGAGAGTCTATTGGAATTATCTGCTAGTTATGATGACTTGGATTGATTATTTCTGGTTAAAATCTTGAGGTGTTTGTCATTTGAGGGACAAAGACATGACGGTTGATATTTATGTGCTTTATTCGTGGTGAGTTGGTTTCGAACTGTTTATATTTTTGAAATGTGCTAGTGATTATTCTGCTTGATGTCGATTGTGTGAGGTGACTTGACGTGAAAGGTTGGGAGTTGAATGTCTCAGAAAAAAAAGGAGAATAAAAAAAAATGTGAATAATGAATGTGGAGGAAAAAAATAATGGGTGTTGAAAAAAAAAAGAAAAAACAGGATAGCGGGCTGCAACAGCTGCCAGTCTGTGAAGCTTTAGTGCAACACTCCAGCACGAATAGCTATAGACCTTAGACTGTGACGGAGCTGCCGTTCCCACACACAAAAAAAAAATAAAAAAATAAAAAATCGAGACTTTTGATTTCTGGCTAGAAGCGAATAGGAACCAAACCGGTTGGCAAAGAAAGGGGTATCATTAGTTGCATGATTGGTATACTCGGTGAAGAGATTAATGAGCTGCGGTAATTCACTGAATTAATATTTGATTGTTGGCGTTCTAAAGATGATTTCATTTTGAGTCCGGGGTTATCAATTTGAGAAATTATAACTATGCATTTATGTGAGATGTGTGAGTTCACTTGAGCGAAAATTCCACGTACTTGTTTGTTGGTTCGTTCTCTGTTCTTTAGTTCTAAGTTGCTTGGGGACAATCAACGGTTTAAGTTTAGGGAGATTTGATAGGTCGAAAAATGTGAGCGTTTTATATATTTAATAGTATATTTTTATATACTTATTTATTCGCATATTTATATTTTTCGACTTATGTATTATGTTGATGGATTTATTTTATTTGGTATTTTATGTATTATTTTTCAGCATATTAAAGTATTTTCGTGGATGGCGAAATATGGAAAAGCAGCTCTCGTGAGCCATTGTAGGGCTTTTCAACATCGGATCAATTAAGGCCCAATTTGCAAAATGCAAAGAAATAAAGAATTTGAGCCCAAATACTCACGCCACACACACAACAACACAATTGAATTGAAGGAAACTTTTGTTTAGTGGAAATTAATTGTTGAGTCCAATTACTTTTACTTGGGAAAAACATAAGAAAGAGTCGTACGGAAATTAAAGGCACTCTTGGATTTATTTTTACGGGGGAATAAGAAAAGGCAGCAAAGAATATTGGCGAGAGACAGAAAAACAGAACTCACGTACGGAGAAGACGTACACACGGACAGAGGGAAAAGAGGCTACACACGCAGAGGGAAGCCGCACCCGCACATGAGGGAGATAGCTACTCTCTCTTTTATCTAGTATTTATTTTATTATTATGTTAGATTAGGATTTTTATCCAGTTTAAGGGGATGTGTGAACCCTAATTTCGATTTGTCTATGAATTGGATGATCTTTGTTTATGGTTGATTAATTAAGACCCCGTATTTATTTTGTTGATGAGTTGATTCATGCTATCTGTTTATAATATTTATGAATTATGGTGTTTAATTTAATTTGGCCAGCTAGGTTGAATATTCATAATTTAATTGCTAGAGACGATACTTTAATCCATAATTGTTATTGTATCGTTTCGTTAGTAGTAAACTAGGGGTTGTGCATCTCTAGGGTAGCATGAGCATAAGTTAAATGGTCCGAGCTTTTGCGTCCATTGGTTAGACTGATCAATTTTCCTAGTAATTAATGTTGCTAGTGTATTAAATCTATAGAGCTTGTTCTAGGTTGTCCACTAGTTAAGTTTAGTCGAAGAGCCTATTTCGATTAAATATTCGGTAAGGAAAAATTCGGTTAGCAGAGCTTGTTGTTAGCTAGGGTTGGTAATTCATTAGCAATTTAAAGAAAGCGTCGAAATTAATTATTGATAGATTTAGATTGGGTGATAACTGAACCGAAAACTGGACTTCTCTAATTTTATTTAATTTTTATTTTATTTTGCATTTTTATTTTTTATTTTTATAAAACCAATCCCCCTACCTTTTATTGCTTTCCTAGTTTAAATTCGATTAATACGAGAATAGTCACAATTTAATTCCTGCTCCTCGTGGGATCGACTCTTGTTCGCCGCTACTACTAGTTAGTAGAGGTTAGTATAGGCAAACTTTGTAAATTTATATTTGCCGCGCTGCGACGCGCGGTCAGGAACAGTTACCCGAAAAGATCAAGGTACCACATATCGGATTCTATGATGTAAAGTCAGACCCGGATACGCATATCGTGTTGGTCACCTCATGGATAGATTTACATGGCACATGAGACGCTCTCCGGTGCCGGATGTTTTCTTTAACCTTAGGAGCAAAAGTCCAGCGATGGTATCATCACTGCCGCCACATTCGATCCACAGTTGGCCACAATTGTAGTCTTTGTTTCGAACCGATTTCATAGGCTCGCAAGCGTGCATGGTGCCAAAGGTGTCGATTACGAACGTCGTCCAAGGCACAGACGAAAGCTTGAAGGACTATATCACCCGTCTTAACGAATGGGTGCAAAATATGGAACCATGCCACCAAGAAACCTTGCTTATATCGGCATAATCGGGTTTGAGGCCAAACTCAATGTTCAGATGGACACTGTGTCAAAACAAACCCCGGAAGTACGTACCATGAATTCTTTATGAAGGCCCAGCAACATGTGATCGCAGAAGAATCAATGTCCGTACCATTGTTTTGAGCTGTGAACGAACCACAGGTGAAGGCCAAGGAATCGAAACCGTTTACGAAAGAATGCAAGACGGCCCAGATCCGTGCATTGCAGAAAAAATACCAAGAAGAGTTGACGACCAGTTACCAAGGAATCTATTCGGCTGGAGCAGCCGTGGTGTACGAGGAACTGAAGAATAAGGGGATCATACCGGACCCAAAACCCATCAAAGCCGACGAGGATCAGTTAAATAAGTGTCGGTAATGTGTGTATCACAAGTCGCATGGACACAACACAGATTAATGTCACAACTTGATATCCGCTCTGTTGAAACTGATTGATGACCCGCAAGTTAGAAAGTTCACGAATACTGTACGAGGCAATCACAGGATGAAGAATGAAGATCGAATGAAAATTGAGGACGAATAGGAGTTTGAACCGAACTCCAAGAGAATGAGGGACCCTCCTAGGGAGATACTTACGCTTAGCCAAGAACGGCGAGATGAAGCGAGCATGTCCTAAATCAATTGGTGAAAGATGCCTACATCCGTCCATGATGATGAGGAGTCAGTTCGTATTTCGAACAGAAGGAGTTCGTCGGTAGAAAGGATAAACACGAGCAGAGGGGACATGGGCGGATCCACAAGGCAGGAAAAGGCATACGCGCATCGAGCTTACAGTTCGGGACACCAGATCAACCGTGCTGAAACAAAGGTACGACCGCCCATGGTGACGAATGCAATCATATTTTCAGATGAAGATTCACAGACGTTCGACAACCCTCATTCGGATGCGATCGTGATAACGACCCCGATTATGTACATTCCAATCCACAGGATCTTGGTGGACACGGGCGCCTATTCGAGCGTCCTGTACTGGAGCGCATTCCTAAAGATGGGCATCGACCGGAATGACTTAGACACGTGCAGCGACCGGATTACAGGCTTCGATGGGAAAACGACCGTCCCAGAATGGAGAATCACTCTGTCGATTGAGGTACGAGGAACCAGTCCGACGGGGCGAACCATACTAGAAACGTTCAAGGTGGTGAAGATGAACAACGAGTATAACGCCATCCTGGGACGGACAGCGTTGTAAAAGTTGAAGGCAACTGTGTCCATTTTTCATTACTCAATCAAGTTCCCGACTACCGGATGGGATGGGAGTGCATTATGGTGATCAGAGAGAGGCTAGAGAATGCATCATGGCAATTCCGTCGTTAAAAATCTATGCAGTCATGGCCACGAGCGAGGATCAGAATTCAGAGAAAGAGCCGAATGTTGAACTCCACGAGTCATCTGAACCGACGAATCAGCTACTGTCCGGACACCCAGCAGCCACAAACTATCTTGCCCCGAGTGGGCAAGGACAAGCCAAGGAGAGTGTAGTGAATAATCACGAGAGTCGGAATGACGGGATTGTGGAGGCCCAAGAAAGTTGAGATAGCAGGAAAACGAGAAGATTTGATGAGTCACCCGAGAAAGAGGAGCTTTCGCCACCCGTACGCCCAGTAGCAGCTGACGACCTCTTTCAGAATGGAGAAAAAACAAGGTAGAGCGCACCGAATGTGGCTGAATTTTTCGAGGATGAAGACCGAATGACTGACCGAGGCCACCGACCAAGAAGAGAGCCGATGGAAGAGAAGGACGAGCTGGACTCGAGAGACTCATTCAAAGGTAAGAAGAGCGATTGTGCCGAACCCAACAAGGATACGGAAGTCTTTCACCTGGACGAGCCCACTGCACCAAGTAGTTGTGCATGGGGAGGAACCTGTCCGGTCTCAACTGATTAAATTTGTGATTGAAAATACAGATGTGTTTGCATGAACGCATGAAGACATGACAGGGATCAATCCGAACCTAGCATGTCACAGTTTCCGAATCGATAGGGCCATCAAGTCGATGATCCAGAAGAGAAGAAAGTTGGGGCCGTAAAGTCAGGGCGCGCTCGAGGGCGAGGTTGTCAATCTAATCGACAATTGTTTCGTTCGAGAGGCGAAGTATCCGATCTGGGTTTTCAACCCGGTCCTGGTAAAGAAGAACAACGGGACATGGAGGTTATGCATTGATTTCAGTGACGTCAACCAAGCCTGCCCCAAGGATAGCTACCCGCTGCCGAGCATCGACTACATGGTGGATTCGACATCCGGGCACAAACTTATGAGTGTTATGGATGCCTATTCCGTATACCATCAAATACCAATGGATCCGGATGATGAAGAGTGCACATTTTTCTACTCGACCCGAGGAATTTATTGCTACACCATGATGCCAATCAGTCTGAAGAATGCCGGTGCCACGTACCAAAGGCCTGTTAATAAGATGTTTTCTAATATGATTGGTGATATAATGAAAGTCTATGTAGACGATATGCTAGTGAAATCTGTGCATGCGTATGACCATGTAAACCATCTGAATAAAATGTTTTATATTTTGCGCGATTATTCCATGGTGTTGAACCCCAAGAAAGGCACATTCGGGGTGGTGTCGGGTAAGTTCTTAGGATACATCATTAACCAAAGGGGAATCGAGGCAAACCCTAATAAAATCAAGGCAATCCTAGAACTAAAACCCCCAAAATCAATCAAGGAGACACAAAGTCTAACGAGCTGGCTGGCCACCCTGAATCGTTTTATTTCAAAATCCACTGATAAATGCAAAACATTCTTTGAAGCGATAAAAAAGAACAAGCAATTTGAGTGGACGAACGAGTGCCAAAAGGCTTTAGACAACATTATGAAACCCATCACTCGGTCACCTATCCTGCAGAAACTGACCCCAGGGGAAATGTTGTACCTATATTTTGGAGTCACACCATCCGCTATAAGTGTTGTGCTCGTTCGGGAAGAAAGTACAAACCAGCACCCGATTTACTACGTCAGCAAAGCGCTGCACGAGACCGAAGTTCGTTATCCGTCGATCGAGAAATTGATTTTCTCACTGATAACTACTTCGAGGAAGCTCAGATCGTATTTTCTCGAACACCAGATTACGGTCCTCTCCGCTTATCCCATCAGGAAAATCTTTCACAGACCGGATACGTCCGGAACAATGATAAAATGGGTCGTGGAGCTCGCACAGTATGACATTCAGTACCGACCTCGGACGGCAATCAAGGCCAAGCTCTGTCTGATTTCATAGCTGAATTCACACCAGGGGCCGAACCGATACAAGACACCGAGGCCTGGGAGGTGTATGTAGACGGATCATCGACCTTGGACAGATCCGTGGGAGGAGTCGTCATAGTCAGCCCCTAGAAGAAGATATATTGTCATTCGGTTTGGTAATTGTTCTCTGCAACCAATAACGAGGCCGAATATGAAGCGCTCTTGTCTGGGCTCGATTTGGCTTAATCAATGAATCTATCAAGCCCGAAAGTTTATTCCGACTCTATGTTGTTAGTAAAGCATATTTCTGGGGAGTTCGAAACAAAGAAACCCCGGTTGGTCCCTTACCTGAACCTTGCTCGCAAAAAGATGCAAAGAGCGAGTATTCAGTTGGAACACATCCCCAGGACCGAAAACGTCCAGGCGGATGCCTTGGCGTGTCTGGCCTCAAGCCGAGGGATGGATGAAATTGAGTATATCTACACGCAACATCAAGAAAGACCTGTCGTTCAGGTCGAGCGGATCATGTCGGTGGGGAGCGTAACCAATTGTTAAACCCCCAGATGGACGGATCCAATTCGGTCTTATTTAGAGACGGGTATCCTCCTGCTCGACCCTAAGGAATCCAGATCACTACGAACCCGCTCGGTGAGATATACCATCGTGGGTGGAACGATGTACAAGAGGGGTTATTCGACCCCATTGCTTAAATGTATTGACACGGACGAGGCCAAGCGGGTGACGAAGGAAATCCATGACGGATTGTGCGGGAACCATTCGGGAGGACGAGCTTTGGCACAAAAAATCCTCAGGCAGGGATACTATTAGGCCACTCTGAAAAAAGACTCGTTCAACTTGGCTCGGAGATGTGATAAATGTCAAATGTTCGCCCCGAATTTAAAGCAACCGGACCAACCGCTTACATCAACCTTCAGTCCTTGGCCGTTTGCCAAATGGGGGATTGATTTGATCGACCCGTTGCCAACAGGAAAATGAGGAGTCAAATACGCGGTAGTAGCAGTCGACTATTTTACCAAATGGGTGGAGGCAGAGCCCTTGGCCACTATCACCGAACAGAAGATGATAGGTTTCTTGTGGAAATCCATCGTTTGTCGATTTGGTGTACCCCACTCGGTAGTTACCGACAACGGACGCCAATTTCAAGGCAAGAAATTCGACAAGTTTTGTGAGGAGTTGGGGATACGACATCATTTTTCCACCCCGTATCATCCCCAATCGAATGGGCATGTGGAGGCCGTAAACAAAATCATCAAGCAGGGGTTGAAGTTACAACTGTAAAGCTCAAAAGGGGCCTGACCAGAGGAATTGCCGAACATGCTGTGGTCATATCGGACCACAGCAATGTCAACAACCAGAGAGACGCCTTTCTCATTAGCATACGGTTCGGAAGCAATGGTCTTGGTTGAAGATCGGTTCAAAATCCTACCGGGTAGAGAACTTCGAAGAGGAAGCCAATACTGAGGGGATGAGAACATATCTGGATCCGACCGAAGAACTGCAATGCCAGGCCGAATTGAAGAATGCGACTTATAAACGAGTGACGGAAAGACACTTAACACAAGGGTCAAATCACGACTCTACAAACCGGGAGAACTTGTGTTGAAAAGGGTGACCAACCGGACCCGGGTCCCTTGAAACCCAAATGGGAGGGCCCATATCTAGTGGACGACGTGCTCAGAAATGGGGCCAACTGATTGAAGTACTTAGACGAAACCCCTCTGATATATCCGTGGAATGCAGTGTCCTTCAAGAAATACTATCAATAAAAGACGTGTTTGATTATCCTTGCTTCGAGGCAAAAAATGAATAAAACCCTCTAAGGGTAAACATCCGAACAACGTAAATTTGTTCGGCGAAAAATGAATGGAACCCTATAAGAGTAAATGTCAAAATAACAAAAGTTGTTCGGCGAAACACAAATAAAACCCTACAAGGGTAAACGTCCGGACAACGTAAAATTGTTCTGCGAATAACGAATAAAATCCTTTAATGGTAAACGTCCAGACAACGTAAATTAGTTCGGCGAAAAACGAATAAAACCCTTTAAGGGTAAACGTCCGAACAATGTAAATTTGTTTGGCGAAAAATGAATGAAACCCTATAATGGTAAACATCAGAATAACAAAAGTTGTCTGGTGAAAAACGAATAAAACCTTATAAGGGTAAACGTCCAGACAACATAAATTTATTCGGCGAAAAACGCATAAAACCCTTTAAGGGTAAACGTCCGGACAACGTAAATTTGTTCGGCGAAAAATGAATAAAACCCTTTAAGGGTGAACGTCCGAACAACGTAAATTTGTTCGGCAAAGAATGAATAAAACCCTTGAAGGGTAAACGTCCAAACAACGTAAATTTATTCAGCGAAAAATGAATAAAACCCTTGAAGGGTAAACGTCCGTACAGCGTAAATTTTTTCAAAATTAATGAAACCCTAGAAGGGTAAACGTTCGGACAACATTGATTTGTTTGGCGAGAAATGAATGTAACCCTAGACGGGTAAACGTCCGAACAATGTAATTTTTTTTTGGCGAAAAACGAATAAAACTCTATATGGGTAACGGTCCAAAAAACCAAAGTCGTTCAGCCAAAGATGATAAGACCCTTAAGGGTGACGATGCGAACAACAAAAGTTGTTCGGCCAAAAATCAATAGAACTTCGCGAGAGTAATGTTTCGGATGTTATAAGCTATTCGAAGAAAAAGCAAAGTACAAAAGTCAAATCCATACACCGCTTGTCCGACACACGGGTTATTTCATAGTTCAAATAAAAGTCAAGGCATACATTCGCAAATATCCATTCAAGAACTAACATTCATGCATACCAAAAAGCTGAAAAGAAAATCGTTCGACCGAATCCAAACATGGGAATAAACCATCCTCGAATAAAACATTGTTTGGCAAAAAGCAATAATAAACATTGTTTGGTAAAAAACAAAGGCAAAACTAATAGGCAACAAAACTTCAACGT